CCCCGAAAGCCGCCACCAGCAGCACAATGAGGCGGAAGATCTTCCTCTTCCTCAGGCGGTCGAACTCGGCTTGGCTCTGCGTGGGGTGGCCGGGCACCACGCGGTTCCTCAGCTTCACCGAGATGCAGATGTAGGAGAGGGAGACGGCAGAGAGGGGCAGGATGTAGGTGACGATCAGGGTGCCGTAGGCGTAGGCCAGGGGCTGCGTCTCCTTCTCCACCTCGCAGATGGCGAAGCCCTCCTGCCGAAACTCCACGTGGTACGTGTGGGCGATGGCGGGGGCCACCAGCCCGCAGGAGAGCAGCCAGATGCCTCCCACCACGGAGATGCAGCTGGTGACCGAGATGCGCTTCTTCAGGGGGTGCACGGTGGCGTAGTACCTGCGGGGAGAGAAACGGGGGAGCCCGAGCCCGACACAATTCCCCCGGCAGCCCGGGAAACCCACGGCCACCCTGGCCACCCCCGCGGCACTTCCCGGAGAAGGGCTGGCGCGAGAGGCTGCGGGAGGCAGAGCCCCACCGGCGGCGGGAGCTGCTGGGAAAGGGCTGGCTGGGGACAGGACGACCGTGTCCCCTTGCCCTGCCATGGGGCCCATGGAAGCACCAGGTCGCTTCTGCTTTTTTGGGAAGCGGGGCGCCCGATGGGGCCGGGCACGGAGCACGCCTCCCGCAGCCTGCCTCTGAACCTGCCTCTGAACCTGCCTCTGAACCTGCCTCGAGCACTGCAGGCAGCACTGAGTGAGTAACAATAAAAGGCGGCAATTCCTCTTTTACTTCCTCCTCCCCCGAGCATCTTCCACTCCTCTCCGCGCTGCCCCATCTTATGACCAAGGGCTTGCCCTAAGTGAGCTCCCAGCGAGGTATCTTCAGTGACCGTCATTTGATGTTATGCAGCTCCTTCGCATATTAAATGCTCTGCCGCCTGCGGCAGCCCGCGCTGGCTGGCTGCTGCTTGGTGTTGCAGCGTTTGCTATTGCAACGATCCGTATTGCAACGTCTGATATTGCAATGTTTGGTAGTGCAACGCGCAGCCCCGCTGCCCGTGCAGAGGAAAGCACCGACAGCCCTTCGGCGCGTGCTTTGCTCGAGGGCTCGTGCTGAAGTCCGAGACCAGCAGAGCCCCGGCGCGGCCGTGTGCTCCCCCCCATCGGAGCTGGAAGATTTGGCCTGAAATCGTCCGTTTGGGATAAATCCCGATGACGCTTTATGAACACGCTGAGGACAGTATAACTTGGTGGCTGCCTCTTTAGCAGGAGAAACATCAGCAAATCGTTTTCACCCAAAAAGAAAGGGCTTTGTTGAAGAGCAAAGGAACAACACCAGCACTCCTGGGGACGTCTCAAGCCCCCGGCGAGGGGGGCACGGCTCTGCCAGCAGTCCAGGCTTTCTCAGCTATTCCGCTCAAATCTTCCCTTTTTTTTTTGCCCCGCTCTCCCTCGGGGGCAGAGGCAAACCAGCACGAGAGGCACGAGGGGCACTCCCAGTGCTGCCATAGGCGCTGCCGGCATCGCACCCATCCCCGCAGGGTTTGCAGCATCTTTTACGAGAGGAGATCTCTATGGAAACACGGTTTTTACAAACCACCCACCGTCAGCCCCTGCCCGCCTGCACTCGGGGAGGCACAAGAGCTCTCCACTGGGGGCCAGAGCACAGCGTGATTCGCGTGCAAATTTATCCAGCAAAGTATGAAGAACCGGGTGCAAACTCCAACAACCTTCGTGCGAGAGCCGCGCCTGCCCGGAGCACAGACCTGGCCACAGGTGGTCTGGATTTCGGTGGAGATGGCTTCATACAGGCAAGCATGAAACTGCACACCATCCCGATGCAAAAGAGCAGCCAGCCAAACACCCCCACTACGCTTCCTCCACCCGAGGCCGAGGCCTGATGCTGAAGAAAAGGCTGCAGAGAGACTGCAAAGATTCCCTGGATTTTTCCTTTTCCAATTTTGAGTGTTCGGCACGTAACACCCTGAGCCGAGCGAGCAGCAGCCTTGGGGGGACTGGGGGGATACCCCCCGCCCCACCAGCGCTTACCTGTCAACCGCGATGGCCGTGAGCGTGAAGACGGAGACGTAGACCGTCATGGGCTGCATCAGGAAGACGAAGTAGCACAAAAACTTCCCAAAAACCCAGCCCTGGGGGTTGAAAGCGTAGGCCAGGGTGAAGGGCACGCACGTGGCGCACATCAGCATGTCGGAGAAAGCCAGGTTCCCGATGAAGAAGTTGGTGACGTTGTGCATCTTCTTGGTCTTGCAGATGACGTAGAGGAGCAGGTAGTTGCCGAAGATGCCGACAAGGACAACCAGGGCGTAGCAGGGGATGATGAGGGGTTTGAAGGACTGGATGAGCTGCACCCCGGTGAACTGCGTGCTGGCGTTGGAGCGGTTCTGCAGGGCGAGCTCGTAGACGGTGGCGTTGGTCACGTCCCTGTCCCCATCGGGCTCCATGGCTGCGGCTGAGACCTGAGAAACCCCTCGTTTCAGCCAGCCTCAGCACCCCAAAATCCGTCGGTGGCAGGTTTCAGGTGTCCGTGGGGCACATCCTGCTCCTCGTCACAGCTTCGCCGTGGCTGTCGTCCCCCGCAGCTGCGCAGGACCCTGCCCCGCGCCCAGCGAGGCTCCTCGGAACGGCGGCTTCGTCCTGCAGGTTCCTGGGGAGGGAAATGGAAAATCAGGCTCAGAAAAGGGGTGATGCCGGCGAGCAGCCCTGCGTCGGGAGGGAGAGACAGCCCCGGGCTCAGCAGCAGTTACGGCTCGGGGGGGAAGAGGAGAAGGAGAAAAGCAGCGGGGCTGACCATGGGCTCAGGGGAAGCACTT